CACATTCACTTAACAGAGGAAATCAAAACAAGCATGAATAAATAATGTTGGAAGTACAGCATAACAAATGTTAGACAAATTCTGGATATTTTTTATTTAGAAATAGACTTATACGTCACCTTAAACAAGTCCAATTTCGTTGTCACTCTTAGTTCTATATTGTTTTCAACATACCACACGCTGTTATTTCTTAGATTTGTTAATTTATTAACAACATTGCTGATTTTTTAGCAAATATGTTTGTTCATTTGTGAAAAATAATATTGTTTACTGTACCTCTTTGGTAGTTTGTAGTTGTAATTAATATGACTAATTAAATATGTAATATTCTAATTTTGCTTCAATATTTACTATGCAAGTGAATTAGAATGAATTTATTCATTAAATATAAATATAGATATATACGGCTATATAGAAAATGCAAAACTCTTGTCACACGCATTTTTTCTTGAATAATATTATCAAAATTAGACAGCAGTTCGAGACATTATAAGATAGTTCTGTTGTTTGCTTGTCTTCATGATAAGAATTGAAAAACAAATCTTCATCGCATTTATTTATTCCTTTTTAGACAATTTGTGTCGAACACAATTTTACTGAAAACTAACTCGCCAGTGTAATTGAATCAGTTCCAATTATATTGAGGGACATTCGCACGGTTAAATAATGAACCTTGACGGGTGGTCGAAATCACTGAGAAGTGCGTTACGATGATAATGTTCACTATTTGCTTTAAATCCACGAGAAACTACTCTATCGAAAATGCCATTGTGGCGTGATACCTAAAACCAACACCTCGTCAACCCCACCTGTATGAGTAGCGTTATCTGTGGGAATATTAAAGGGACTTTTGAACTATATTTAAATTAGTCAGTATGATAAGATATAATTTACTGGTCATACATACCATACCAAGTCACTGTCACTGTTCACTTTGAGGGATGTTATTTTTGATAGTGTGGTTGCGCTGTATACGACTATACTATACCGTTGATAACCTTTGCCTCGGACCAAATGCGTAAAACTATTTGTTTAAAGAGCCGTAGATTCGTCGCGCTGAATGCGAAACCCATACACCATCCTTTTCAGTAATTCTTTCATTTGTCGCAGAGAACAGTTTTACCAACAAATGACGAGTACCGTGTTATGCTAAATTGCGCCATGAAATTATAACCGCTAGTTTTCGTAATTTTTGTTTGTAGTTAGTAGTTGGACAGCGTTTGTGTGCAGGGATGCAGAGATGTTTTAGGCGCATATTTCGATGGCCGGTGTATTCCAAAAGTTGAAGGCAATGTCGTACGTTGCTCGGACGGATAACCACCACCTGCGAATGTATTACACTTTATTGGATGAATATTGTAAAAATACATTTTCAGTAAAGTGTAGTTGTTTGATTAGAAGTAACGGATGAAATGGTTAAATGTCACGTGATAGTTTAAATCAATATTCTATCGACTGATTTTTCGTTGCTTATAACTGTGCTCTCTCGAAACCAGGTCAAGCACTCAAAGTTGTGTGAGACATTATCTGTAATATTTGACCATTAAAAAAACACAATTTGGACAATTGGAACATGATAAATGTTCTTGATACAATGTCATCAATAAATTATTCCAGTTCATAACAACTTTTTATGATTATGTAACAACCTATCGTGATATTTGCTCTACTGATTTAATTGCACTGTGTACAGAAAATTCTGGAGTTGACAAATTAGCAAAAAGAGATGATAGAGAGGTGTATTATGATAATATTTTTTACCATGTGATTTAAAACCAAGAGAAACTAATCTGTGAAACTGTGATTCAAGATTTTACACCACTATCGAGAATTCAAATGTGGCGTGATACCTAAAAAACAGCGGCTCGTCATTCCCACATATATGTGTAGTGTTATCTATGAATATCTATGAGTTGTGAACGATATGTTTATTTTTGATAGTATGATAAGATTTGATATGTATACTGACCACACAAACCACTTCATCGTCACTGGTCACTTTGAGGAATGTTATATCTAAATATGTGGCTGTGCAAACACGTCTGTACCATGTCCTCGATACCAGTGAGTAGATATTTTAAAGGGAAGTAGACGCATCGTGTTAGATATGGGTCCCACGTGACGGACACAACGGGTTTAATAAACATTGTTTACCTTTTTTTCTCAAATTTGCGCAATTATGCCATTAACTGAAGACCATTAAAATCAGGACATTTTTTGTTTTTATCAATAAACCAAGTTCAGTTTTCCGTAAGGTTTGTTCGATTGCGTCACGAAATCACCTTTTCCATCTTTGTGCGAAATGCGTCATCACATGGTGTAAATTTGTATATTCACCAACAGATACTAAAGCAACGCAACCGTGAAGGCAGTACCATCAACCTGTACATCAAATGTTTAGTTCAAGTGTCCCAGTCAGCAAAGAACTCGGGGAACATTCCAATTAGTATCAATTGTAGCGCTTTTTGACGGGGAAATCTATGTGTAAACAAATTAGTTTAAGTATTGGGAGAATAGACTTCTATCCTACTTTCCTTCATGAAAAAAGCATAATTTTATTGAACATTTGTAACCTACTTCCAAATGAACGAAAAACTTGTTGCTTGATTGTTCTCAATGCTCACCGTTCTCATAAATTGCGCATCATTTGGTTGCAAAATGTCTCCGTATCGAATAATTGTCTCATGATTGAGACCATAATTTATCTACCAATCTGGTCAATTTTCCCGATTTGGAGATATGTTTTGTTGGAGTGTGCTTTGCTACCAGTCATCGGAACACAGTTCTTTCAAAGAGAGGCGTTAATCACGTTTCTATTCAAGACCTACACTCGAATATCTGTTCTACAACAAGAAACAAGAAAGAGAGAGAGTGTTTTGTATTGTATTGTATTGTGATATTGATATTGATATGATATTAAAGACATTGTTACAATTATATTATCCCAGACAGAAAGTACGATGTTACATTAGTACAATAGTATCACGGGTAGGAGGATATGATGGTTACAAAATGATGGTATCAGGGGCAGAATATACGACGTTACAATC